AGGTTAGAAGAGAGAGATTTTAAAAAAAGACATGCAAGGCAAATTTCTTACATAGAGGGTGGTTCGCATCTGGAATGAACTTCCTGAGGAAGTGGTGGATGCGGGTACAATTATAACATTTAAAAGACATTTAGATAGATACATGAATAAGAAAGGTAGGAGGGTCATAAAGGAGGAGAAGGGGCTATTTTAATTTGGAATTATGTTTGGCATGGAATGGTTGGACCGAAGGGTCTGTTTCCATGTTGTATGACTCTGACTCTAGAAGGTAGGCAATGCTGAGGGTTTAAGTCTCCTCAGACAGCACCTTCCAAACCCACGACCTCTTCCATCTAGAAGGACAAGGGCAGCAGATACATGGGAATACCACCCCCTGCAAGATCCCCTACAAGTCACTCACCATCTTGACTTGGAAATATATCGCTGTTCCTTCACTGTCGCTGGGTCAGAATCCTGGATATCCCCCCCTAATAGCATTGTGGGTCAACAGCAGGAGGACTGCAGCGGTTCAAGAAGGCAGCTCACTCCCACCTTCTCAAGGGCAACTAGGGATGGGCAAGAAATGCTGGCCGAGCCAGTGACACCCACATCCCACAAAAAAATGAATAGAAAAAAAAAGTTAGGGTGAATCACATACTCTTCCGTATCAGAGAGCCTTTCTCGTGCAACAGCAGACAGGAGGTATGGAGGAGTCAGGGCTAGGGAACATAAATTACAGAAAACCCGGTTCCTAGCAGTGGGCTGGACCCCATCCTTGTGGGCACACACTTATCATACAAACACAGAAAACAGAACTAGGCCATTCAGCTCATTGAGTCTGCTCCAGTGATCAGTTTGATTATGGCTGATCACCCAACACAGATAGGTTATTCCCTCTTTTCCCCATATCCTTTGATCCCTATAGGCCATCAAGCTTGCTTTGCCATTCAACATGATCATGACTGATCGAACACTTCAATGTATTTTTCTTCACCTTATCCTGACATCCCTTTAAGTCACTGGTATTTAGAAATTTATTAATCTGCACTTTAAAAGTGCTCAAGGGCCCGAGGTAGAGAATGACCAATTTATTCCTCTTCTGTGTCTGTTAGCCAGTGCTTATCTGGGACAGTGGATTACTTTATATCCCGTTAGCTTAGTTTTGCAAACTTGCCGTGTGTGAATGCGTATGTGTATGTGAATGTGTGGGAGTGTGTATCACCAGGTTAATTTGAAATCACAAGCTTTCGGAGTGCTCCTCCTTTGTCAGGTGAAGTGAAGAAAAGCATACAGGCACAATTTATTGTCACTGATGACGACAAAATATCTCACCAAGATCTTCCCCACAGACCATTGTTCGCAGCAAACTACCCAGCCTTCAGGGCATCGACCACAACACTACACAATCCTGCCATGGTAACCTCTGCAAGACATGTCAGATCATCAACATGGATACAACGTCACACGTAGGAACACCACCCACCATGTAGACGGTAGATACTCACGTGATTCGGCCAATGTTGTCTATCTCATACACTGCAGGAAAGGATGTCCCGAGGCATGGTATATTGGTGAGGCCATGCAGACACTGCAACAACAGGTGGATGGACATTGCACAACAATCACCAGACAGGAATGTTCCCTCCCAGTCGGGAACACTTCAGCAGTCAAGGATATTCAGCCTCCGATCTTTGGGTAAGTGCCCTCCAAGGCAGTCTTCGAGATACACAATACAGAATCGCCAAGCAGAAACTGACAGCCAAGTTCTGTACTGATGGAGACTTCCTCAACCATGATCTTGGGATCATGCTGCACTACGTGACCCCCCACCACACCATTCAGTATTCGTAAAATCTTCCTCACTGTCCTGTTTTAACACCATCACCTTGATAAATTATGATCTCTCTACCTTAACTAGTTTGTACAGTTTTGGATTACTTGTTACTTTGGTTAGACCCTTGACATCCAACTCTTAACCCTATCATGTTATTCCAGTCATTTGGTTTGTCTCCAGCATCACCTTATTTTTAATGCTTTGTAATTATCTCTCTACCTCAATTAAATTGGATTATAGGTCATTCCTTCGCTTATTATTCAGCCTATCAACATTCCACTCACACTATTTGTGTGATCTTTTGATCTCTCTGCCTATAAATTCTGTGCCTACAAGCTTCTCTTCACTCCACCTGAAGGGGCAATGCTCTGAAAGCTTGTGATTTCAAATAAACCTGTTGGACTATAACCTGGTGTCATGTGACTTCTGACCTTGTCCATCCCAGTCCAAACCAGGCACCTCCACATGAGAGAGAGAGAGAGAGAGAGAGAGAGAGAGAGAGAGAGACAGTGAGTGTGTGTCTCGGCCTGTGTCTGTACTCAGGGGCGGGGAATGGTTGTTGGGTCTTCTTTTACAATCCTTCTGAAAATCCAAATATACTCTGCCCACCAGTTCACCTTTATCAGTTGTGCTAGTAACATCTTCAAAAATTTCCAAAAGGTTTGTCAAGCACAATTTCACATTGACAAAGCTATACAGACTCTGCCCAATCTGATCACCAATATTCCTTTATCACTTCCTTCATCATAGATTCCAGCATGTTCCTTAAATCCTGATTAAATTCTTGCTTCTTAAATAGTGGGGTGACATTTGCAAACTTCCGACCTGAAGTTATCATTTCAGAGTTTATAGACATTATAGACCAGAGCACCATTCTATAGCCACTTCTTCCAACACTTTGGAATGTCGAATATCAGATGCTAGAGATGTATCAGCCTTCAGTCCCCCTAATTTCACCAGTACAACTTGCTTACTTCATTTCTTGCCATTCACCAGCACAACAGATCTTCAGTAGTCATTCAGCTTCTCCTGGCTCTACCTGAAATTAACCCACATGCCTTTGCTAAACATTTCCCTTTAAAATAAAGACACAATGTTGAGAGAAACTCAGCAGCTTTGGCAGGATCTGTGGAGAATTCTAAAGAAATGTCATATCAGATTCATAACTTTAACTGTCTCTCTCTACAATGCTGCCAGTCCTGCTGAGTTTTTCAGGCCCATCGAGTCTAGTGGCCCTCCAAAGAGCATCCCACCTAGACCCACCCCCTTACCCTAACCCCATAATCCTGCAGTTTTGATGGCTAATCCACCTAGCCTGCACATCCCTGGATACCATGGGCAATTTAGCATAGCTAATCCATCTAACCTGCACATCTTTGGACTATGGGAGGAAACCGGAGCACCCGGAGGAAACCCACGCAGACACGGGGAGAACGTGCAAACTCCACACAGACAGTCGTCCGAGGGTGGAACTGAACCCCGTCCCTGGCGCGGAGAGGGAGCAGTGCTAACCACTGAGCCACCATGCTGCCTCTTTACATACTATAGAAGCTTCTACAGTCCATTTTTAGATTTGTATTCTAGTCTCCCTTTATTAGTTTCTCATCCTCCTTTGCCAGATTCTAAAATACTCTCAATCCTTAACTTTATTACCCGTTTGCTCTATGTACCATTGTAACTTTTAACATATTGCCCCAAAACCACCTCAATAGCCTTGTAACCTATGAATTTTCCTTGTTCAAACTTAACATCCTTGCTTCAGACTGAACTCACTTTCAAACGCAGTGTACAAGTCTATACTGTGGTCACTCATCTTTAAAGGTTCTTTTAAAACAAATATTCATCTACCTTTCGTTGTTACATAATGCTATATCTAAAATCTCGTCAGCTCAATATTTGTTCGAAAAACTAATCGCTGACACACTTCAGGAAATCATCCCCCAAAACGTGCAGCTATTTTCCACAGTTACACAAGATGCATTTTGTTTTATTTGTGCCTTCAGATGATCTCTCTCGTTGTGAATGCTGCAGTCATTCATGTGGAGTGCTCCCTAACTTTGTCTTTGTGACATCTTTCTGCTTTCCAAGCTTAACTGATGTTCACCTTCGCCTGTCCAGCCTTTTCCTTCTCCTTAGTACCGATTTGAGACAGCCTTCAGGATTCCATCTCCTCAGTTTGAACTGTCCTGAACAACACTAGTACACCTCCCCGTCAGGATAATGGCCCCAGTCCTGTAGAGTAACCTATCCAGCTTGCAGAGGTCCCACTTGCCTCAGAAATCTGAAACCCTCCCACTCAAACCAATACTCCAGCCACATGATCAATCAATCCAACCTCCTGATCTTATGCTCGCTAGCACATGGCACTGGGAAGAATGCTGAGATGACAGTTCTGATCTTCCTTTTGAATTTCCTTTCTAACTCCCTAAAATCTGCTTTTAGGATCTTGCCACATGTCATAATGTCATTGGCACCAATATAGATAAAAGACACTTAGCTGTTCACTCTCCCCCCAGAAGGGTATTGTACAGCCACTCTGTGTCATCCTTGGCCCAGGCTTGTCAAGGGAGACAAAACCTCACTCTGGAATCATACTTACTGCCACAGTAACACCTGCCTGGTCCCTGACCAGTAGAGTTCCTCCATTCTTCTTCCTCCCTTACAGCTGGTTTGTCTGTGGTGCCATTCCAGAAGAACCATCACCCGCACCGCTATTCAAAATGGATTATCCATTAGCAAGCACAATATACACAGGGGAGCGTTGTACTGCATGGCAGTCTCCCCAGGTCCCCTTCTGCATGTACATTCCTAACCTACAGCGTGACCACATGTCTAAATGTGTTACCCGTATAGTCCTCTGCCTCAACAATGCACAACAGTGGCTTCCAGCCACCACGAGTTCCAAAATCGAGATCTCAAGCTTGTACAGCCAGTGACACTGGTGCATCTTACCACATGCTGCAGAATGGATCTTCTAGCTGGCCAAGCTGATCTGCCAAACCACAAGTTTGAAAAATATTTATTACAATGAGAATAAGTAGAATTACTTCCGGTGTACTCGCCAATCAGCTTCTTCCACCGTACCAAACAGCCAAGTAGTGGAGGCTGAAATGCTAGGAAGGAGCACATCCTTCCCCACTCACCAAACTCGCCCTTATGTTGCGTGCAGCCAAACCAGCTCTCAGTATAGATATTAGTTAACATTTATTACCAGTAAATGGTATATAATGACAAAATAGAATCAATAAACTTCCTCAGCCTACGCACCCATTTAAAAAAAAACACATTCTGTTCTTTAAAAACATCAGGCAGTACAGAACAGATAGCGATATGGATCTGCCTGTACAGTGGAATTCTTCTCAATTAAAGCAGATTCAGCACAAGCCTAATGATAGTTTCCAAACTTCTTCCAATGTTAATAAACATCGTACAATATAAGCCACAGCACAGAATCGGAAGGCAATCTACTGATGAACTGAGACCCATGAACTGAGACCCAGACAAACATGAAAATCAGCACTGCACTATTGGAGGGTCAGTGCTGAGGGAGGGCTGCATTACTGGAATGTTCAAACTAAAGCCCCATCTGTGCTGACAGTGATGTGAGGAATCTAATGGAAACTTCCTCAAGGAAGATGTGAGGAATTGTGCAAGTGTTCAGGTCAATAGCTGTGCGTCACTCCGCATCAATGAAAGAGTTTCTCTTTCTAAGAGGGAGTGCTGTTTGTTGAATGGAATTGATAACTGTATCTCGTACATAGCCACCAAACTATTTTATTGGCTACAAAGCACTTGGAGATGTCCTGAGGTTGTGGAAGATGATACAGCAATCTTCCTCTGTGTTATTGTCCTCGGGCAGGCCATTGAGGTGATGGTGTTAATTGAACACATCCCAAAGTTCCCACTCCAAGGTTTCAGTCTTGATGTGGAGGTCATGAACTCCATTGGCTTGTCAATCTGTTCAGGACGAGTGACTGGCTAATACTTGATCCAGGTCCTTGCAGGTTTGATGAAGCAGTGTGTGTTTTCTCTGTTGCTTCAACTCCTCTTTCCTGTGTATATTTAACGTCCAATAAGCCATCAAAAGTCAGAACATCTCACTGGTCTCCCCATCAACTTTATATCATCAAATGGAAACAATGCAAGGATCTGCAGGAGAGAGAGAGAGAAAGAGAGAGAGAGAGAGGAAATGTCAGCAAAGACACAACCTTTCAAGAGGGCTGCTCACAGAAACTTCAGCTGCAGCATCAAAATGACACAGGAGGTGGCCATTCAGCCCATCAATGATCTGGAAATGAAAGGGCAGTGGAAACAGATGCAAGAGGAACTTTTAAAAGAGAACTGGAGAAGGATTTCAAGGGAAAAATATAGCAGAGGATGGGACTAATTGGAGAGTTTCCAAAGAGCCAAGAAGGACTGAACAGTCTCCTTCTAGACTGTCATTATCAGTATTAATGACAGGGATTACAACATCTAGACTCCCCAACCAGAGAAAGCATTCTCCCTGTATCTGTCTACCTCCTTAGAATTTTTTGTTTTTATCAGATTCCCTTCATTCCTCTAAACTTTAGTGAATACAGGCCCAATTGAGCCAAACTCTCCTCCTAGGAGAGTCCTGCTATTCCCCAGTACCAGCCTAGAGACCCTCCCACTGCACTGCCTCTATCCTGCCTTAGGTAGGGAAACCAAACCTGTATGCAGTACTCCAGGTGTGCTCTCACCAAGGCCCAGTCTAACTGCAGTAAGATATCACTATTTCTCAACTTCAGAGCTACTGCAATGGGGGCCAATGTATAATTTGCCTTTCTAATTGCTTGCTGTGCCTGCCTGTCTGCATTCACTGATTGATCTATAGGGATACCTAGATCCCCCTACACACCCAAACATCCCAATAGATCACCATTTATATAATACTCTACCCTTCTGTTTTTTCACACCAGATTGGATAGTTTCACATTTAGCCACATTGTACTGTATCTGTCATGTGTTTGCCCACTCACTCAACTTGTCTAAATGACGTTGAAGTGTCCTCACATTCTCCTCACAACCCACAATCTCGCTCAGTTTCATATCAGCAGCAAACTAGGCAATATTACATCTGGTTCCCTCACCCAGGACATTTATATATAATGTGAATAGCAGGAACCCACACTGATTTTTGCAGTGCCCCACCAGTCAATGCCTGCCACCTGGAAAAGACTTCTGTATTCCCACTTTCTGTCTCTTGTCAATTGACCAATTCTCAATCTGCGTCAGGATATTACCCTCGAGCCCACGTACTTCAATACTACCCACTAACCTCTTACGTGGGACCGAATCAAATACACCACGTCCACTGATTCTCCCTTACCAGTTACATCCTCAAAAAACTCCAGTAGATTTGTTAAGGGTGATGTTCCTTTCAGAAACCCTGCTGGCATTGTCCAATACTATTCTTGCTTTCAAAATATTCTGTTATCACAACTTTTATAACAGATTCCAGCATTTTCCCCATGACTGATGGTAGACAAACTGTAATTCTCTGGGTTTTCTCTCCCTTCCATTTTAAATAGTGAGGTTATATATACCATCCTGCAATCTGTAGGAAATGCTCCAGAGTCTATAGAAGTTTGGATGATGACTGCTAATGAAGCGAGTATTTCCAGGGCTATTTCCACTCCCCTGCTTTAGCCTTTCATGATGTCCTGTCCATCTTGTATTTATTTTGTATTTGATTTGACTATTTTCCATTAATATAATTTCCCAATTCATCACAGATAGTAGGAACTGCAGATGCTGGAGAATCCGAGACAACAAGGATGAACACAGCAGGCCAAGGAACACAGCAGGCCAAGCAGCATCATAGCAGCAGGAAGGCTGACGTTTCGGGCCTAGACCCTTCATCAGAAAAGGGGGAGGGGAAGGGGGTTCTGAAATAAATAGGGAGAGAGTGGGAGGCGGATAGAAGAGGGATAGAGGAGAGGATAGGTGGAGAGGAAACAAACAGGTCGAAGAGGCGGGGATGGAGCCAGTAAAGGTGAGTGTAGGTGGGGAGTTAGGGAGGGGATAGGTCAGTCCAGGGAGGACGGACAGGTCAAGGGGGCGGGATGAGGTTAGTAGGTAGGAGATGGGGGTGCGGCTTGAGGTGGGAGGAGGGGATAGGTGGGAGGAAGAACAGGTTAGGGAGGCGGGGACAAGCTGGACTGGTTTTGGGATGCGGTAGGGGGAGGGGAGATTTTGAAGCTTGTGAAATCCACATTGATACCATTGGGCTGCAGGGTTCCCAAGCGGAATATGAGTTGCTGTTCCTGCAACCTTCGGGTGGCATCGTTGTGGGCTTCCTCTACATCGGGAAAACCAAGCCGAGGCTCGGGGACCGCTTTGCAGAACACCTACGCTCGGTTCGCAATAAACAACTGCACCTCCTAGTCGCGAACCATTTCAACTCCCCCTCCCATTCCTCAGACGACATGTCCATCCTGGGCCTCCTGCAGTGCCACAACGATGCCACCCGAAGGTTGCAGGAACAGCAACTCATATTCCGCTTGGGAACCCTGCAGCCCAATGGTATCAATGTGGATTTCACAAGCTTCAAAATCTCCCCTCCCCCTACCGCATCCCAAAACCAGTCCAGCTCGTCCCCGCCTCCCTAACCTGTTCTTCCTCCCACCTATCCCCTCCTCCCACTTCAAGCTGCACCCCCATCTCCTACCGACTAACCTCATCCCCTTGACCTGTTCGTCCTCCCTGGACTGGCCTATCCCCTCCCTAACTCCCCACCTACACTCACCTTTACTGGCTCCATCCCCGCCTCTTCGATCTGTTTGTTTCCTCTCCACCTATCCTCTCCTCTATCCATCTTCTATCCGCCTCCCACTCTCTCCCTATTTATTTCAGAACCCCCTTCCCCTCCCCCTTTTCTGATGAAGGGTCTAGGCCCGAAACGTCAGCCTTTCTGCTGCTATGATGCTGCTCGGCCTGCTGTGTTCCCAATTCATCATTCAGTTCTCACGGTTGTTTGGAAATCCTTCGGCCCTCACCATGTCCTCCAGACCATACTCTGAAGGCTCGGCACTGCAATCATTCCAGCCTCTTGAACACCCCCCAATCTTAACTGCAGAAGCAGCAGCAGCTGTACCTTCAAGCTTTCTGGGTCCCAAACTCTAGAATTCCTTCCTGGATCCTCCTCTCCCTCTCTCCGCTGCTTCAGCTGCCTAGACCCTAAGCTCTGGAATTCTTTTCCAGCCCTTCTCCCTCACTCCTGAAAGTCTGCCTCTCTGACCAAGTCTATACAGTTAACTCAATAGGCTCAAACATTCTCTGATTAATGAGGTGAGGGGTCTCGGGATGTTCTACTCTAAAAGGTTAAAAAATGTTACATAAATGCTAGTTCTTGAAGTTTGGGAATATCTCCATCCAATTCCCTCGCCATGAATGCAGAATCATCTCTTGGAGCTATGAACTTTCTCAGAGCAGAGTTCCTTCACTTTCAGCCCTCTTTGGTTCCAGACTGAACCAGGCCCTTATCACAGGCTCCCTCCCCGTTCTTCCCAGACTGTTCAAACCGTGTTCACATTTACTTCGCTCACATCAACGTTGCCAGAGGCCAGGTCCTGGGCTGTGTCCCCCTCCACATTGGGCAGTAAAGGATCTGCCCCAGCCTGGCACAGGATGTCTGCGATCTGGGTATCCCACCTGCCCACTGCCAGGTGTAGGGCTGTGCAGCCATTGTACATAGTCGCATTGACGCTGGCCCCCATCCTCAGCAGAAACCGCACAAGGGCACAGTCCCCACACTCCACAGACAGGTGTAGGCTGGTCTTCCCACTTGGACCATCCTGCAACAGAACAGAACAGACACGAAGGTGAGTACAGGGACTCACTCTGGCGAATGAGTGGACCCAGAGCTGAGGGAGGAGGAGTGAATTCACGAGGGAGATATCTGTGAGAAAGGGAAGGTCAGGTGGAGAAATGGAAAGGGACCCAGCAAACAGGCAGCATGCAGAGAAGGTTCAAGCTCCACAGAGAAACTCAAAACGAGAGAAGGACAGCAAAGAAAGAAAACACTTTAGTGGCTGAAACATTCTGCAGCCTCACCTGGGAGTTAATGTTGCTTCCTGTTTGCAGCAACATGGCTAAGATCTTCTGGTTCCTTGTGAGAGTCGCTGTGTGGAGACATGTTCTACCTGTGGAAAAATACACAATGTAATAACAATGGACATCAACCAACCACAGTCAGAGACCAACGCGGGGCCCCAGCCCCACCGGCAGCTCCGCCAACACGGGGCTATACATGTAGGTGAGACATGCAGAGACACCTGGAACTACTGTTGTTCACTTTACCTTGCCAGTTCTGCAGCTCCATATTCAGTTTCTTTCCAGTTCTGTTGCTTGTTAGTAGCCTCACACAGTCGAGCAGCTGGTGCTGACAGGCCAGGTGGAGGGGTGTGTTCCCATTCCAGTCTTGTTGATTCATATTCACCCCTTTTCGCAGCAGCTCTTGTACAATGTTCAGCTGCTCAGTATACACGGCTAGATGCAGGGCTGACTAAAACATAAAGGCGACTCTGTTAAAGAATAAGCCACAACTCCATTCAACACCAAGAATACACACTCAGCCCCAGTCTCCTCCAGGGCTCCACCACACTCCTAACAGGCCCCAGTTCACCTCCTCACACCTCCCACTGCCTCACAATTCTATGGCATTAATATCGCACAAAAGGAGGCCAATAATTATCTCCATCATGACAGAATCTAACCATCTCTGCACCCATCAGAAGAAGCCTGCCTCCACATTCAGGGGTTAACAGGGAGGGCAAATGGAATGTTGGTCTATATTTCAAAGGGAATGGAGTTTAAAAGTAGGGAGATTATCCACTGGCGTCATACAAGGTACTAGTCAGCTGGAAGACTGAACAGTTTTGGGCCCCTTATCTAAGGGAAGATATACCAGCATTGAAGGCCATCCAGCGAAGGTTCACACATCCGGTCCCAGGGATGGAGGGACTGTCTGATGAGGAGAGTTTCAGAAGGTTGGGCCTGTACTGATTGGAATTTAGGAGAATGAGAGGTGACCTTACTGAAACACACAAGATTCTTAGGGGCTTGTGGGAGAATCTGGGACCAGATGGCAACATCTAAGAACAAGGAGTCACTTTTTAAGGCAGAGATGAGGAGGAATTTCTCCTCGCTGGAGGGAGTGTATCTGTGGAATTCTTTACCACAGACGGCTGTTGGGGCTGGCTCATTACAGTATATGCGAGGCTGAGAGAGACAGATTCTTAATCAGTAATGGCAGCAAGGGTCATAGGGATAAGACTATCAGAAATAGGAACAGGCCAGGATCATTCAGCCCCTCGAGCTCACTCTGCTATTCAATAGGAACACGGCTGATCCAATATTCCTCACATCCGCTTTCCCGCCCTTCCCCTGTAACCCTTGAATCCCAGGCTGATAAAGCATCTAGCTACCTCGGTCTCAAATATACACAGGGACTGTGTCCTCACAACTCTCTGTAACAAGGAGTTCCAAAAATTCACAACCCTCAGAGAGAAGAAATTCCTCCTCATCTCAGTCTTAAATTGGTGCCCCTCTATTCTGAGACTATGCCCCCTGCTCCTAGGCTCTCCCACGAGGGGGAACATCCTCTCAGCATTGACCCTGTCAAACCCCTTAAGAATCCGATATGTTTCAATGAGATCACCTCTCATTCTTCTAAATTCCAGTGAGTACAGTCCCAGCCTGTTTAGTCTTTGCTCATAAGACAGTCCCTCCGCACCAGGGATCATCCTAGTGAACGTTCTCTGAACTGCCTCCAATGAAATGATATCTTTCCATAAATAATGGGACCAAAACTGCTCACAGTATTCCAGATGTGGTCTCACCAGCACCTTGTACAGTTGCAGTAAGAATTCCCAACTTTTGTACTCCAACCCCCTTGAATAGATTCATACAGCATGGAAATGGATCCTTTAGTCCAACTTGTCCATGCCGATCAAGCTTCCCCAAACTAAACCAGTCCCACTTGCCTGCGTTTGGCCCATTTCCCTCTGAACCTTTCCTCCTCATGTACCTATCCAAATATCTTTTAAATGTTGCAACTGTACCTGCATTACAACTTCCTCTGGCAGCTCATTCCATACACTAACCACTGAGTGAAAAATTTGCCCTTCAGGTCTCTTCTAAATCTTTCTCCTCTCACCTTAAAAATACACCCCCTCACTTTGAACTCCCCCACCCTGGGGAAAAGATCTTTGCTATTCACCTTATCTATACCCCTCAATAATTTTATAAACCTCTGTAAGGTCACCCCTCAACTCCCTATACTCCAATGAAACAAGTCTCAACCTATCCAGCCACTCCTTATAACAAACTCTCCTGTCCCTGCAATATCCTGGTAAACCTTTTCTGAACCCTCTCCAGTTTAATAATATCCTTCCTATAGCAAGGTGACCAGAACTGCACACAGTACTCCAGTAGAGGCCTCACCAATGTCCTGGACAACCTCAACATGGCTGGTATTATTCAGCAGCCTTTAAACTTGTAGGGAGGTAGGGTGCAGTCACAGTGAGACTAGAAAGACAGATGAGGATGCTTCTGATAAAAAGAGCAAGTTAGAGAATGAGGTAACTGAAGAATTAAACTGCATTTATTTCAATGCAGGGGGTCTTACAGCTAAGGCAGATGAACTCAGGACATGTATGGGAACATGGAACTGGAACATTATAGCTATTACCGATATGTGGCTGAGGGAGGAACAGGACTGGCAGCTCATTGGAAGGGCCAACATTCCATTAACCTTTCATTACAATAGGAACATGTCCTGAGTGTTCTGAAATACCACCTTAAACGTCAACCACTGTATCTCTGTAGCACTGTAAGGGCGTGGAATGCCCTGCCTGCAAAAAATAGTAGACTCGCCAACTTTAAGGGCATTTAAACGGTCATTGGATAAACATATGGATGATAATGGAATAGTTTAGGTTAGATGGACTTCAGATTGGTTTCACAGGTCGGCGCAACATCGAGGGCCGAAGGGCCTGTACTGCACTGTAATGTTCTATGTTCTACTGATCTGTTCCCGAGCCTAGTATGCCAGTTCACTTCAGCTAGCTCAGATTTCATACTCACACAGACTAGGATCTTAAGCATAAATAAGGACAGCTGTGACCCAAACTTCTCTTTCTCAAACGGGATGTATGTGATCACTGATATTTAGAGGTGCTTTTACTCCAAGGTCATTAATTGATCACGTCACAGTACCAAGTCTAAAATAATCTACTCAGCCTTGTGGCACCATGGTAGTGCTCCCTGCCTCTGGGTCAGAAGGTCTGGGTTCAAGCCTCACCCGCCCCAGAGGTGTGCAATAACATATTCAAACAGGGCAAATCAAAATACATAAAATAATCTGTTCTCTGGTCAGTTCAAGAACATGCTGTCCTAATACACTATATTACGGCATTCTATAAACGCCTCATCCACACAAAAGTAGGCCACTCAGCCCTTCCAGTGTAGTCCACCATTGGCTGATCTGATTCTAATCTTAACTTTGTATTTCTACATATTCCAGATCATCTTTCATCCTTCTAGTCATCAAGAATCAAGCTCTGTATTAAAAATATTTAATTTTGCATGCACTGCCTTTCAAGGTTTGGAATTCCAAAGACTCTCAAACCTCAGCGGAAAAAAATGTTTCCTCATTTCTGTCTCAAATGTGGGTCCCTTTATTTTTAAACATTGACTGCTGGTTCTCAATTCTTCCACAGGAGAAACCCATGCTTTCGACACCCACCCGGTCCAGTCCCCTCAGGATTTTATATGTTTCCATTCAGCTCCCTCTGACTGTTTAAACTCCACAGGAAGCAGGTCAAGCTGGATAACCTTTCCTCATGGGGGAACCCACCTCATTCCAGTTATTAGGCTGGTAACCCTTCTCTGAACTGCTTCCAACACATTAACATCCTTCTGTAAATACAGTGCCCCGTACTATGTACACAGTCTCACCAACACCCTGTATAACTGAGGTATAACCTCCCTACTCTTGTATTCAATTCTGCCCCTCACCATAAACCAGCACAATCTCGGAGCTTTCCTGGATTACTTGCTGTACCTGCAGACTCAATTTCTGAGATCCATGCGTTACGGGTAATTATTAGCAAGAATAGAAGATTATTTAACCAACAGAAAGCAAAGATAAATGCGTGATTTTCTGGTCAGCGATCAGTGCCCCAGGCTTCAGGGTTGGGACTGCAATTGTTTACAATTTACATAGATGATTTAGAGTTGGGGACCGTGTATAGTGTGACAAAGTTTGCAGATGACACTAAGGTGAGTGGTAGAGCAAAGTGTACAGAGGACACTGGAAGTCTGCACAGGAATATAGATAGTTTAAGTGAGTGGGCAAGGGTCTGGCAGATGGAGTATAATGTTGGTAAATGTGAGGTCATCCATTTTGGTAGGAAAAGCAGCAAAATGGACTATTATTTAAATGGTGAAAAATGCAGCGTGCTGCTGTGTAAAGGGACGTGGGTGTCCTTGTGCATGAATCACAAAAAGTTGGTTTGCAGGTAATTAAGAAGGCAAATGGAATATTGTCCTTCATTTCTAGAGGGATTGAGTTTAAAAGCAGGGAGGTTATGCTGCAGCTGTACAGGATCCTGGTGAGGCCACATCTGGAGTACTGTGTATAGTTTTGATCTCCTTACTTGAGAAAGGATGTACTGGCACTGGAGGAAATGCAGAGGAGGTTCAAAAGGTTGATTCTGGAGTTGAGAGGGTTTATTTATGAGGACAGACTGAGTAGACTGGCACTATACTCATTGGAATTTGGGAGAATGAAGGGGGATCTTATAGATACATACAAAATTATGCAGGGAATAGAAAAGATAGAAGCTGGGAGGATGTTTCCACTGGTGGGTAAAACACGAACTAGGGGATAGAGACTTAAGATAAGGGGGAGCAGATTTAGGACCGAGTTGAGGAGGAACTTGTTCACCCAAAGGGTTGTGAATCTGTGGAATTCCCTGCCCAGTGAAGCGGTTGAAGCTACCTTGTTAAATATTTTTAAGGCAAAGATAGATAGATTTCTGAACAGTAAAGGAATTAAAGGTTATGGCGAGCAGGTGGGTAAGTGGAGCTGAATCCACGAGAAGATCAGCCATGATCTTATTGAACAGCGGAGCAGACTCGACGGGCCAGATGACCTACTCCTGCTCCTCTTAAGTTCTTATGCAGTAGGATGCCCAGATCCCTCTGCATCTCAGTGCTGCATTACCTAAATGGTGAGAGATTACGTGCTGCTTTTAGATTCTTTCTGCCAAAATGGGCAGTTTAACACTTTCCCACATTGTACTCTATTTGCCAGATCTGTACCCACTTACTTAACCTATCTGTATCCCCTTGGAGCCTCGTGTTCTCTTCACAACTCACTTTTCTACCTATCGTTGTGTCATCAGCAAATTTAGCTCCATACCCCCAGTCCCTTCATCCAGATAATTTCTATAAATTGTAAAGAGTTGAGGCCCCAGCACCAGTCCCTGTGACACACCACTCATGATACCCTGCCAGTCTGAGAAAGACCTATTTATTCCTACTCTCTGCTTCCTGTTAGCCAGCCAATCATGTCGATATATTACCCAATACACCATGACATTTTATTTTCCACAATAACCTTTGCTGTAGCACCTTATCAAATACCTTCTGGAAATCTAAATAAACACATCCACTGGCTCCCCTTTACCTACAGCACAAGTTACTTCATCAAACAACTCATAAATTATTGAAACATGATTTCCCTTTCACATAACCATATTGGCTCTGCCTGATCACCCTGAACTTACTAAAGACATCATAACAGGGCCCTTGGATAAGTGCTTCAAACATTTTCCCTCTGATAAATGTGAAGCTAACTGGCCTGTTGTTTCCTGCTTTCTGTCTCCCTTCCCTTTTGAATAAAAGAGTTACATGAGCTATTTTCCAATCTAAAGGAACCATCCCTGAATCTAATGAGTTTTGGAAAATTAAAACCAACATATTAATTACCTCAGAGATAGTAGGAACTGCAGATGCTGGAGAATCCGAGACAACAAGGTGCAGGGCTGGATGAACACAGCAGGCCACTCTGCTCCTATGATGCTGCTTGGAGCCTCTCTGCTCCTATGATATTAATTACCTCACTGACTTCTTTTAAGACCTAGGAAAAAGTCCAACTGGATCCAGGGACTTGTCAACTCATTGTTCCAACAATTTACTCAGTACCACTTCCCTGGTAATTGTAATATCTTTGTAAAAATTGTAATAGTTCCTTCCTTTCAATTCCTGATTTAAAGCTATTTTCAGAATGCTAATTGTATCCTATCTATAATAAATGTAATATACCTGTTTAATTAGTCTGCCTTCTCTTTATTCCCCATTACTAATTCCCAGACTCATTTCTATAGGACCAATGTAGATAGGATTTATTTTGAAGAAACTTTTAAGAATAAGAACTAGGAGCAGGAGTAGGCCGTCCAGCCCTTCGAGCCTGCTCCGCCATTCAATAAGATCATGGCTGATCTTTTCGTGGACTCAGATCCACTTACCCGCGTTCTCACCGTAACGCTTAATTCCTTTATTGTTCAAAAAAAAAATCTACCTTTTCCTTAAAAACGTTTACTGAAGTAGTGTCAACTACTTCACTGGGCAAGGAATTCCATAGATTAACAACCCTCTGGGTGAAGAA